CGAGGGGGCCCCGCCGGGGAGCAGCGACAGCAGCAGCAGAACCGGGGCTGGGGCCGGGCGTTTGTTGTTGTGCCCTTTGCTGCCGCCGCCGCCGCGCCCCGCCCAGGGCTGGGACCGCCTCGCCCGGCAGGCGGCGAGAGATGATGGTGCCAGCGCCGGGGTTAGCGTAGCCGACCCCCTCCCCCGGCAGCCGGATCGCAGTCACCGCCGCCTGCGGCTTCCCCGGCGCGGAGCGGGCAGGCAGCAGCGCCGGAGGATGTCCGCCCCCGGCCGCGGCAAGAAGGACAAAGAGATCATCGCGGAGTACGAAAGTCAAGTGAAAGGTGCGTGTCCGTGGGGGCCGCCGCGGCCCCCCGTCGCAGTCAGGCTGGGGGGAGCGGGGCGAGTGGCCGTTCGCGCCCCCCGCGCCGCGCTGCCCCTTCCCCGGCGGCCTTGGAGGCAGGGACAGGACGGGCAGAGCCTCCCTCCGCTGGCTCCTGCGTGCTCCGTGAAGCCGCGGGGCTTGGCTGCGCTGCGGGAAAGGCTGGGCATTGAAAGGGACAATAGGAGCCTTGCCCCTTTCCGGACGCGCCGGGCTACAGCTGCCAGGGCGGCTTCCTCTTACCTAGGCGCTGGTGGGGCCAGAAGCCCTGCACCCGGGCTTGAGGTGGCTCATCCCTGGGAGGATGGCTAAAGCCGGGAGCAGTGCCGCTGCTCATATTCCTCAGCCCTCCTTTCTTTGCCTGTTAGCATCTCTCGGGAATTCCTCTCTTCCAGTGAACATATTTGTACACGTGCATTAACGACAGTGTCCCTTAGTACCTGCTGGTTCCCCGCTACTGATGCTTCTCAGTGAAGATGGAGGTGAAGATGTGTTCCTTTTCCAGTCCGATGTTTTATAGTCAACTTGTAACATGTACCCCAGATGACGGATGCAGACGTGAAATGCTGGCTGTTAAGTGCTACCCAGGTCTCTAACAGGGGTTTGTGTTCCCAAAATGACACTCTACAAAAGCTCACATTTGGGCTCTTGATTCTGTTATGAGACGTGGGTCCTGAATACTGCTTGTGTACATGCAGCTTCGCAGACTTCAGGAGCATGGGTGGGATCGGGACTGGTGGATCCAAAAGAGGGTTTTGGAAAATGGGGTGTAGACCTCTGCAGCTGTGTATGCGCTTCAGTAGTTCTGAAGTCCATCTGCTCTTGAAGGCCATCTGATCTCCTGGATCCTGCAGTGAGGTCAGGTTTTCCAGTGACATGGCTTTTCAGGTTAATTTGTCAAAACCATAAGCCTTCTATGAGAATGTACCAGTCTGGTTGAACTTTCTCTAGGGAATATTTGTCAGGGTGGCAAGAGAGAGCAACTGCTCCAGAGTAGGCAAAGCGTCAGAGGTTTGGTTGCTCGTAAGGACGTGTGAGAACAAATCCTTCAACCATGGGGCCTTTGACCGTTCTGAAGCGGCTTGGTCTCTGGCCTTTCACAAAAAAGCTCTGGAAGGTCTTGGATTTGTCCTGATGTAGAATGAGAACATTTGGGAAATCTCTCTCTTGCAGGATATGAGAACAGTTGTAGTTGTAACAGTTACCAAATGTGTGCAGTAGCTAACTGTTTACCACTTTTATTTTCCTAAATAAGGAGAAACTGCAGGGACATGGAGATAAGGGCCTATGCACTCCCCTGTCTATGCATTTCAAAAAAAAATGCTAATTTTTAAACTCCACTCTGCCATCCTCCTTTCTAATTGCTGCTCCTCCATGCACTTGTAAACCGTGTGTATTCAGTACTTTGACTGGTTCACCTTTGTGGTGTCTCTAAATGAATATAACGATCGTCTTGAAGCATTTATGTAGTGCAGTGATTCTCACCAGGGTCCCCTACAATCAATATTAGCATGGTTAGGTATGCAAATATCTACATGGGATTCACAAGATAAGCCCAGAGATTTCAAATAGGACTCCATAGTGTCAAAAACATTCTGACCTGTTGTGGTCTTTCTGAGTTCTCTGCAACAGAAGAATTGCTCTGGTATTTTTCCATAGTCAAAAACTGAGCGAAAGAAAGCTAAAAGCTGGGATTTTCCCAAGGGGTGCCTTGAGTCTAAAAAGGTTAAGAACCACTCGTATAGTAGGAAAAGCTTTGTAGAAAGTCCCTCTAGGACCTGTGGTTGTAGTAACAAACTCTTTTTCTGTAACCTGTATCATTAAGATATGAAGTCTGTCTTTCTTATCTGAACTCACTTTTCTTAATGTTAAATGTTCTTAATGTTTTACCAAAGCAGAACTTCTATGCTAGATAAATAAATGTAAACACAAATATTCAAGGGTCAGAGTCTGGTCCCCAGTATTGTCTGTCTTGTCATGAGATACCAAGATACCGTAAAGTGTCCTAAATGAGTTGAGATTCCAAAAGTATCCTAATGAGATAGAAAGATGGATAAGTTTCTTTTAGTTAATGTAACACCAGAACACCACCTGTAAATTATCTGTCTAGTGCAGGGTGTTATTGGGGTGTACTAGGAAAAGTGGCATGGCCCAAGCATTTCTGCCTCCAGTGATTCTTGATCAGTGTCATTATGGAGGGGTTGTTATTATCAGCACCTGCTTAAGCTGCCTCAGGAATATAGCAAGAAAAAAAGTGGCAACCTGGCCACTTGCATTTCCAGGTATATGCAGGGCTTGAGCTTGGGCTTGGGCTTGGGCTTGGTCTTGGGCTTGGGCTCGGGCTCCCTTTGCCCTTTTCTGTATCCAGGTTCTCAGCCCAGTGTAATGGGGTTTAAGGATTTGGGTCCTAAACACTGAACGTTTTGAAGCTACAAGCGTTCCAGAATTTGCCAACCTAATAATGTGTGCATTTGCGTGAGCCTTGTTGCAAGTTGTATTTGAATATGCTTCTGAGCAAGTGGGCCTCTCTTGTACTTGACAAGTATACATGGGTGCCATATATGGAAATGAGGATTTACAGTGTCATACTTTACATATCTTGCTGTGTTGCTAATGTCTAATAGTTCTGCTTCTTATTCTAGGAGTTTACGGTGCCAATTATTTCTTTGGTGGCGTGAACTGACAGTTATTGTAAGCATACACTTCTAGTATTATCCTAGAGTCATTGTTATAGGTAAAGTCCAGACGGGAACGACAGAAAACCTGTAATTTTTATTTACTTGGGTAACAAAATAGAAAGGGTATTTTTTCAGTGATACATGTAAATATACCAGACCAGTTTCACCTAGTTGCACATCTGACATGAAGTATCTTGAACTACTACTGATTCTACTGTGTTGTCTTTTAAACATGACTTCTATTAGCAGGGGTAAAACGATGAACTCTAGAAATAAGACTCTGTTCACCTTAATTCCTAAATGCTTTGCAAAGTTAAGGCTACAAATTTTTGTGTCTACATTCTGAAATTAAATCCATTTAAACAAATTCTTCCCCTGGTGTTAAGTCCCCTGGCTTTTTGTGGGTACGCCACAAAGAGCTAAGGGCTTGTATATACCTAAATCTGATTGCAAGGTGAGGGCCCTCATTTATGGGGAATAAAGAGGAGAAATACACTTTTGTGTGAGGTGTAACTTGATGATTCATTGGGGGTGAGACTTATTGGCATGGTGAGCAATTTCTTTTGTATTGTAATTTTGATCTGTCAGAAATAAGTATTTCTGTGACATTAAGTAGCCCTCATGAGGACTAGTAGGATTTTTTTCATCTCAGGTTTATTTTGATGGTAGGTTTTATAGATGGTCTTAAATTACTAGTAAGAATATCTGGCAGTGTGTCTTAAAGCTCCTACACTGGTTGGATAACTGAGTGAAAAGGTTCTGATGCTTTTGATTCTCTCTCTTACTGTGGACCACACATTGCTGCAAGTTCTATGAGAGCTCTTGAAGACTTCAAAACTTGTCTTTTCTGTTTGTTTTATTGAGGGCAAAAAGCCTTCGAAAACTGGTGCATTCATTTTTAAATAGCTGGTATCAGTGTAAGGTACATAAAGGTACAGCAAAACACTGATCTCCCAAATCCTAGAAAATTCTGTATTATCATTTTAACACAGTATTAAATGTACTCCTTTAAAATGCATTGGGAGAAAATTCTACTTAGTGAGATTTGCTTTTGACTTTACCAACAATAGTATTAGTCCTCTGGAGCATCCGAGAACAAATCCCCTTTCGTACCTCGGAACTATACCTAGTACTCTTGAGCACCGAGACACGTACCCAACGCCTGCTCTGATTCATTCTAATTCAGGCAGGTTGGAGCAGACTCGATTAATTGAGTCTGCTGGAACATGCTAATTAGTCTGTGCATCATGTGTATTCAGCATCCCTGCTCTTCAAAATGGCAGCAGGGCACTTTAACTAAAGCTTGTTGAACAAGCTTTAATTAAAGTGCCCCTGCTGCCATTTTGAAGTGTGGGGATGCTAAATACACAAGGTGCTGTGGGCACTTTAATTAGAGTGACTCCTTAAGTGTGTTCAATTTGTACTACATGGGATTCAGTGTCATTCCTTCCTCCCCCTTCCCCACCCCCCATAAGTTCTGAATAAACAGTAAATTTGCAGTGAAGAAAAAAATGAAACAACATTTTGATTGATCTAAAACTATTCATTTTTTTAGAGCTCTGTTTTGTGGTAAAGTGTTTGAAATTTAGGCTGGATAAAATAGCACTTTTATCACAGTTGAATGACATGTCAAGGTCATAAGGGAAGCAGTGTAGCAGAATCAGGAATAGGCATGTAGGCTTACAATGTTTAGTCTTGCACCTTAACAGGGTGACTAGCTTTTCTTCATTCTTGTTTCTATCTCTTTTTTTCAATGGACTTTAGGAGTAAGTGGAATCCTAGTTACCTCAAGAACATATGAATAGACAGCCAGTGATTATGAATGTGCTTGGTCAGATAATCATCTTTATTTTTATACAATATATAAATAATGTCAGTTCTTAAAAATTGATTGTGGATATAACATTTTATTATGTTTATAATTCTTGTTGTCTTGTGTATAGCCATGGTTTTCTTGAACATTAACAGTTAAAGATACAAGTTTTCTTTTGCTGTGGTTAAACACTATTTGAAACCAATGCAATTTGGAACCTATACAGTGGTTTCTTCTGACGTTCTTTCCAAGTGTTCTTTCTCCACAACATTTCAGCATAGCATGATTTAGAACCTTACTATGCAAAGGTTCATTTAATGTCTTCCCGTTATCTTTTATTGGTCACTTCTTATGAACTAAAGTAGTAGTTGCTAATAAAATTAGACTTACAGCTTGGTAATGCTGTGGTAAGACAGAATGGCTTCTCAGTTTTATTTCCTTCTGCTGCAAATTTTTGTTTAGGTTAATTTT